ATCGAGGCGTCGCTACAGCCCTACTTCATAGAGTCATTACTTCCACCCAAGCACACTCGGTCACCAAGCCCTCCCCTTTCAAACCCAATCAGACAGAAATGTGACGTAAACAAGATGTTGCAGCAAGGAGAGGTGGAAGAAACTGTCCCAAAAAGGTTACAGTAGTTCACCAGTGTGGCAATATTTTCATTCTTACAAGTCTGACAAAAAACAAACAATTGTTGGCTAAATTTGGAGAGATCCATAAAAACCAAGTCTGGTAACCCAACCGACTTGTTTTTATCATAAAGTAATGGCATGGAAAGGCCAGGGCTGAACTTAAAATGTATTTTCTACATTTTTCATAGTTTTCAATAATTATTGATATTGATCGATGCAATTTTTCCTATATCCTCCAGCCCTACTTCTATGTACTGAGGTGCTTTTGTGTACCTGTGCTCTGTCCCCTGTCGAGGGTTGAAATGTGACTTTGTTGTAACGGGATGCTGGTTCAAGGACAATAAAGAGATTCTGATTCTGATCCAGGTGAGCTGCAACAATGAATACATAAAATCGATAAAAATCAATGAAGAAATGCGTTGGCAATGGATTTCGTCATCGATTCGATGTGTTGTGCAAGCTTTTTCCTAACCCTAGCCTTTTTTTAACAGTTAATGCAATCAGCTCATCTGCATTTTGCACCCTGTTGAACTATTTTCTAATCATATTTTGTTGTTAAAGTAAAGAAAGGAGAGAAAAAAGGTTTAGCAGTTTTTCAATTTTCCCCTTTTTTACGATTAGTCAGTTAATCGAGTCAAGACACCCTCTGTTCATCGATGATCCAAATAACTGTTTGTTGCATCCCCACTTCCAGTTCTGATCAGTCATACTCCAGTAAATTATGGAAAAGCTGTCCTTCCAAATATTAGACATTGCTTAAAAAATAAGTTACTTCCTACAAGAGTTGTACTCTGCTCACGTTGCCAGTTTGAAAAATGTGCCACAGGTGGTGTTTCCTGCGGATTTGCAGCAGACTGCTAACCCCCAACCCAGACCCCATCCCTTGGCTCGCTTGCCTTGGATACCTTTCATCAGTCACACAGAGAACTAAAGCACTAGCAAGCACCGAGGGAAGAGAGTAGGATTTGTTTTGGAGGCCATATTGGCCCGGGAGGTGCCATCCAACTCACTATGGAGGCTTGGTCTAGCCAGAGACGTGGTTGCTACAGCCCACAGTGGCAGTGCAGCTGACATATTGGTGTGCTGTTTTAGCTGACTCCAGTTTTAACCTGAAGATGGCACCACACTGACCATTCTAGGGTGAATTATTAACTCATTCACTGCCAGCGTTTCTCACTGTTTTTACTGTTTTTTAAGAGTGACAGAACGTTGTGCGCTAGGATGACGTTGACGCCAAAACAACCAAAACAAAGCGGAGACTCAGCTCTGACATCAGGAAGAATCCGCGCGTTTCGAGCGTTATCCGTTCTTTCATAATCCGTTGTTGAATTGTGATCGGCAGAAGCTTTTCCGGTTCACGCTTCACTTTTTTTTACAGCAGCGGCCCAAAACGATCTCCTAACACATGGATGTTCTGCTTCCTGATCACGTGACGTGGGACGTACGCGGATGAAGATCGGCTTTAGAGCTGAGATGTTTGTTCTCACGGTGCGGGGGCTCGTCCGACGCCCACACAGTAAAAAAATACAAATGACGACTTTAGTCGTCATTGGCAGTGAATGAGTTAAATAGGATGCACTAAAATGCCAAAAATAATGACTACACAAATCTACAACACAATTAGACACTCATATTTTATCAGCCAAAATTGTGTTTTGGGGGGTAACTTGCTCTTTAAATAACTTTCTGCTTTAAGCACAAAAACCACCCAAGAAAAAGACACTCAGAACATGTTTAAATGCACTGCTGTCAAGCTCACAGATTGCAAAGGGAGTGCTCAGGCGTTGAAAAGCACGTTTGAAAGACGTTGTAAAGGATGCACGTCCTCTGGGATTTATCCAGTCAAGTGAAATCAACTGCTTTGTTGTGCCAGCCATATGCTGGTTGTGCTCTGGCTGAGACAGCAGAGTCCTTCAGCTGATTATTCAGGTTGTCATCCCAGCTGGTTATGGTCCCATTACTCTCCTTCAATGGGACGTAGAAGCTCTTGTGCTCAGAGATAAATAAGAGGCTGGGCCTGGTTGCTTTGGCACAGACTCAAGTAAAAAACTAGAAACGTCACGGATAATAAAAGTAGCTCATGTTGGAAAATTGATCCTTTACCGTTTAATAGCTTGAGAGGAGGAGATCTAAAGTTTTCATTGGAACTGAGACATAATATGGACTTCCTGTGGCATTTGTGCAGCTTGTATAGAGGCGTTGTGTGAGAGCTTCCTGACTGTGTGAAATAGCTGTCGGGCTTGTAGGAGTCAGACATGTAAGCTAATTAGGTAAGGACACCCAGCCACGTGTGTGTGTGTGTGTGTGTGTGTGTGTGTGTGTGTGTGTGTGTGTGTGTGTGTGTGTGTGTGATATCCAGTTGTGAAAAACAGTGACAGTAGGAAGAGAAGCCTGGAAGTACCCAACTCAGAGGTGTCAGACCTCACAGATTCAGAGCAAGTGTTAACAAAGCAGCAGACTGATCTTTTTGTGGTAACTGATCACAGTGCAGTCTGCAGGAAAACGTTTTAGACTAGTCTTACCATTTTTGTGAGAATTAATGCTGAAATGATTTTTTGGGCAATAACATGTCTGTAAAAGTTTTTGTCTAGAATGATCTGGTCTTGTCCGGTTAATCCTAAATGCAGTTGTACAGCATGTTAAGGGTTATACCTTTATCTATGATAGGTTATACCACCAGGCTAGTGATATCCATTCAGAGGCTGCAGGTTTCAGACTTTGTTCTTTGCTGAAGACACAATATTGTTGTTTTAGTTAAAACCAATGTTTTCTGTTTTTGTTTTTAAGGTTTAGCATGTGCTACTTTCTTCTCTTGAGGAGTCTTTGCAGTAATGTGCTGTACTCTGAAAGTGATGCTTCTAAATGCATTGACATGTTCTTGATTTATAATCCTGAATGAAGGTAGTTCACAAAAAATGGATGATTACTAGAAATGTCCCCATCCAATCTCGTGTTTGGAAATCAGGCATTCATCACATTATTTTCAAATGATTGGAATTGGGTGGAACAGATTGGATTTAACTTTATGAAACAGCAAACTGGACCTTTTATGTTCATCCTGTGATAGAGATTTTCAAACAGAATGACAGTGGCTTTGTTCTAATTTAAAAAATGTCCTCTACATAAATATTCCTTGTTCCTTAGATGACAACAACACTGTGAGGTCACAAACTTTACGGCAGATGGGGTCACATGTTAGCTAACAGGGTAACACAGAGCTAGCGTGGAGCAAAAATGTCGTATTTTAAACCGGCGGTGAAGTCTGTGCAACAACCAGTTGTAATTTATGTGTGCTCCTCCTCACAGCAGTCGGTCCCCACGCTGCCGCGGCTGCAGCGATGGTTCCGAGCTGCAGTCAGAGAAGATGTTTACTCCACTGCATCCAGACTGACAATGACGCTTAGTCTGGCAAAGGGCCAAGCAAGACCTGGCCGTCTGCCAGACTTATAAAGCACGGGGGGAAACCTGCTTAGTGATGTTATGTGAGTCTGTCAGAAAATCATCAGTGTCAGTTATGTAGTCTAGATTTACAGACACAACTGGCACTCAGTGTACTGAGTCACATTTTAAAATAAAAAGATTTAGATTACACAGATGCTGACCTTAAGTAGTGAAGATCGCCAAATTCTGTTTAAATGTTCTTTAGCTTTAGTGTTTTAGTGTTTAAAGGGACTTTATGGAGTTTTGAATTTTTATGCGCGCGATTGCCCCCTCAGGCCAAAAGCGTAACGGCAGCTTCAATAGTAGGCTCGTGCACGAGGCGCGCATGCTGTATGTGCACACTCCTTAACGAAAATAACAGCTGAGACAGTCCCTTGTGTGTGTGTGTGTGTGTGTGTGTGTGTGTGTGTGTGTGTGTGTGTGTGTGTGTGTGTGTGTGTGTGTGTGTGTGTGTGTGTGTGGCCTGGAGGACAGAGGACAGGAGAACGCGCAGCTAATTAAATACTGTGGTTCTGTACCTTTCTCTTCAGCACAGCCGACAAAGGTTTATGATGGGTCAGGCCTCCTGCATGCTCAGATCATTCCCTTCCCTTGCTTGAAAAATTGTTCCAAAATGAAAGTTGAACCCACATCTTTTTTATCTATGAATTCAATGCCGTTCGGCAAGTCTCAAATAAAAATTTGGGCATTGTACTGTAAAAAACTATACCATTAATGTAAAAAAGAAACTCTAAATAAACTATGTTCACATCCAGAATCAAACCCAGGTCTTCTGCACGAGAGTCCGACATCTTACTAGGTGAGGTAAAGCGCCAGTGATGTCCTTTGTATCTGTAACTTTTATATCCTTGGTGACAGCTGAAACAACGTCAAACCAAAAAATGGTTCGGAGCGTAAATGGCTATTTTGTTGCTAACTTGCAGGAAATATCTTGAAGAAAGTTCTACAGAAAGTAGCTAAGGGTCCTCGGAAATGTAGCTAGGTTTGTCACTAGGCGTTAGGAACAGCGACAAAGACTAAAGCTACGGATAGCAAATGCTACGGGCTATGCATGAGCGTGAACGTGCATGAAGCAGCCTGCTCGACCCGAGCATCTCTCTTTTTCTGTGATTTTACAGAAAAACAGGCAATCACAGTAAAAATGCCAGGGCTCATTCTACAGGACCAGGGCATTGCAGGAGAATGTATGAAGAAGACATTTATTATTTCTATACATGTTTTGGCTGTCAAACTTCCACAATGTCCCTTTAAAGAGGAACTAAACTCCCCAATAACTTTTGTAGCTTATAAAATGAAGAATCAGGTCTTTACAAATGCAATCTTTCTGTTTCTGTGCATCTCTTTACATTTTCTGATGGTGTGCAGTCCCTCTTTAAATGTGTGTTTTTGTGTTCTGCAAGGTTCAGCACGCACTGACAGGAGCTCTGAGTCAATCCGGTGCCAACGATGTCGAGAAGTCTGCAAAGGAGAAGTGGTTCGAGTGCAAGACACCCACTTTCATGTCAAGTGCTTCACCTGCACGGGTAAGAAACGGATCTCTCAGCCACTAGAAAAGAGCCCAATGTTGGTTGTGCAACTGTTGTTGTGTTCACTGTGACCTCGCCTGGAAGGTCGTAGCCGTGGTGAACTAGCAGAAGACTGGAATGCCATTTGTAGGCTGGAGATTTTTCATGGTTGCAACCTCACCCTCAAGGTACAAACTTTGACAGAAACCATGCAAGCCCTCTGTGTTTGCACATGCTGAGAGCTGCTATTAGCCCACAGTGGGGATTGGAGCGGATCAGAGGTGCCTTGCAGGGCACAGACTGCTCCTGGTAAGGGAGCTTGTTATTATCCTTGTAACTTGGGAGGGATTTTCCTTTGGCTGTGCATGGCGACTTAATACCACTGATGTAAGCAGCTTTGTAGTACTACTGTACACACTGGCATAGGTGACCTAGTTTAAATACAGTAGTGATGCAATCACAATGCACGTTACACCAGGAGCAAAATAAAGCTAATCTGGTAACAACCTGGTGTTGGAGTTGAACTTAATTGGCTCAACATTGTAAATTAGCAGAGAAAGTGCCAGCTTCATGTTTACTGCCCACCGCCACCAACTCGAAGGCATGCAGTGATGGTTTTGCAGCTGTGCATTTGTTAGCGAGGTATCTCGGGAACCACTTTGTGGATTTTAATGTGTAAGGCGGAGGTTTCATTGAAATCATTAAAGTTTTAGGTCAAAGCAAATCAAGATGGCCAGCTGACCTCCCAAATGGCAAAAAACAGCTTTGCACATACAGAGTTAAAATGTTGTACTAAAGAAGTTGAAGTAATCCAGCTTTTAGAGTTAACCCAGTTCCAGATAGCCTTCCCAGTGAATGGAGGTTAAAACCTGCTCCTGATTTCTGATAGATCATTCAAGCTAGACCAATCTCGACCCAATGTACTAGAATGTTGCTGAACATCAGATGTTCTGAGTTTAAAAGTCTTTTATGACAGGCGAGCTATATTCACTAAATCGTTACTGATTGTGTTAGTCCCATTCGGTAGTCTTTGTAGGGGGAGCTGTCTTAGTGGCATCTCATGCAAAAGTGATTCGGCTCTCTATATTTGGAAAAAAAAGAAAGAAAGGAAGACATCGTCTGTTTGCAAACTCAACCTTTTTATATGTGACATTAATCTACAAAGGAATGCTGTTTACCTCGTTGCATCAACTGTGCTAATCAGGGGTGACCTTTCTGATATTTGCAGCTAAGTTGAGATGAAAAAGCTAAATGTTTTATGTCATTATGTTCTTTCCTGTGCTTGCAGAGACCGTAGATGGAACCTAAACCTTTTATCTGTGTGCCAGAAGCTGACTGTTACGGTTTGATCTGCTGTTGCTGTTGTCCGGCGTTGATGTTCAGCAGGTCCTGAACTCACAAAAGGCTTTTCACTGGAAACATGAAAAAGTCAAGCTTCTGGCAAAAGCAAACAAACATATGAACTTGTGTGTGTCAGTGTGCACACCTATACATGTGCACAGGCTCATCGTGGTTGTGAGGGGTTGCTGTGGTAACTATGTGAAGGGGCACCTGGGTCCTGGTTGGTGGATATTCTCAGTATCACTAAGGTGCTAATAGCCAATTGGACAGCTCCATTCGGAGGGGGGGGGGGGTTCACCAAAAGCCAGCAAAAAAACAAGAAGGAGGGTTGTGTGCATATGCGTGGGGAGGGGGTACTCATGTCACCCAAACATTACATCAGCATTTCAGTATAATCCTACTTTCTTCCTTTTCCTCTTCCTCTCATATGGAATCCTGTCAGAGAACAAAAAAACAGTCCGATTATCGTACCTGTCCGACGGCTCCCACCTTTCTTGTTCTAGAGAGTTCTTCTAGCCCCGTGTTGGGTGCTGTTGTATGCAGCCAGAAGCTGACACGTCCTTTCCCATAGCATGCCCTCCAGAATGGGTTTTTGCTCAGGTAGCAGTTTTCTAAAGCCTTTGTTGGTCAGTGTGCAGATCCCCTCGTACACAAACACGTTGCATGTTCAAATATTAAACTCAAAGCGGGAGACAAGGAACTAACTGGAAATGGGAGACTGTCAATAAGGCAGGACACACACTTTATTCCTCTACTTTAGACTGTCTCTCATGAGAAGCTCACCTGAAGCGCTGGAGCTAAACAGGATCTGTAGCCAGTGGCTTTTCAAAATAAAGGAAATTTTAAACAGTTCATGATATTTAAATTAATTTCTAACTATGATTATGGTTAGTATAAGTGCGCAAATATAGGCTGTATATTTCACACTTTACATTGTTTAACAGTAGTGTAACGGGTTACACTTTGTTATGGTTGTACTTTTATGCTGAATGGGGTGTTCTTGGCCGGTTGTGTGGAGAGTTCCAGTTCGGTCGTTTAGAAAGAGAAAAGGAGATAGTTTGGATGGAGATTGTTAACTTTGATTTTCCTGGAGTTAAGTCGTGGGCTGTGGCCAACAGGAACCCGGAATAAAGATCCGAAATGGGAAAAAACTGTTGGAGTCATTACAATATCTTAAAATAAATCAACCAAAATGTATTCTACAGTAGGGGTGGGCAATATAAACGATATAAGGTAGAAACGATATAAAATTGGGTAATGATAGAGTTTTGGGCTGTATCGCAATACCGCGATGTCGCGATAACACATGACATCACTAAGATGTGCACCATGCTGACATTGGGGCAACAGAATGGCAGTGACTGCAAGCACATATATATATATATATATATATATATATATATATATATATATATATATATATATATATATATATATATATATATATGATTATATGGTTATATATATATATAATCATATATATATATATATATATATATATATGATTATATATAACCATATAATCATATATATAAAAATATGATTATATGGTTATATATATAATCATATATATATATATGATTATATATATATAATCATATATATATATATATATATATATATATATATATATATATGATTTTTAAGGCTTACTTATCCATGAGCAAGCTCACCAATTGTGCATCTATCTATGTCAGTGGTTCTCAATAGGCGGCCCGTGGGCCCCCGAACCCCGCGGGCCCCCCCATCCACAGGTGGAGGACAGGTGTTGTGTTTCTTTCTATGTTAAGCTTGTGATTCATGTGCATTACAACCAGCGATCCAACAGCAGCAGAAAACTCCCGTCTGACGTTCAGCCAACAGCATCCCCCCCACCCCCAGACCCCTCTTGGGTCTTTTTTTTTGAGTGGCCCTCGGACCATTATAATTGAGGACCCCTGATCTAGGTACATCTTCAAACACGTGGGCACACTCTGTAATTCACATCTGTATTAACAGATGTTTACTGCTACTGATAATGCTGAACAGCAGTCAATTCTGATTGCATGGGCCTCAATGGGATGAGGGATGGACCTAGCAAAGATGTTTGCTTACATTACATCAGAGTAAGACTAGCAGATTGTATTTTTTTTTGTAGATTTCTAAACAAAATTCATACATAATTCCTAAAAGGGGAAAATCTCCAGATTGTGGCATTAAAGGAAAACCCTTACATTTTTTTGTAAATTACTGGTTGTGCTAAAGGAATCTGATAGTTAAAAAGCCGCACGAAAAGCATCTAGCACAAAAAAACATATGTTCCCCACTGATGCTGGTATCAACAGATGTTGCATTTTAGAAAAAGAAAGTAAGCACAGTAAACAATCAGATTAGCTGCCACCTTCATTGATGTAAGGCTGTTTTAATGTGTTTAAATTGCTGTTTTATTCATGTCCGCACTTTGTAATTTGAGTTGATTTCATTAGCAAAGAGGGCAGATACAAGAAAAGATCCTTCCTGACGAGTCCCAGGCATATTTGCATGGTGTAAGTCATCTCATGTTAGGAAGAAAAAGTGCAGCAAGCTGTTGTATGAGCTCCATTTTAGGGCTTGTTCTTTTTCAAGTATTGAGTTAAAGTAAGAGAAAGTTGTGAAAGTCTTGAAAACAAATGATCACTTACTTATTTTTAAAAATGCATTTTCTTGTTGATACAGTGAGATTGTCACGTTTTTCCCTCCATTTTGCTTAACCTGTCCAGCCTTGCCATGCTTCCTCACGGGAAGCAAAGAACCTGGGAACTCCCAAATTCAATTCTAGCTGAGCCAATCAGCGCTGAGCAGCATATGTCACACACCGCGATGCTCAGTTTCTCATAAACAACAAAGATGGCGTCCGAAGCCGGGTTTGCTGCGGCTCTTTCCTCCGTTGAACACGTCTTTAAAACAACAAGAAGAAGCGCCAAGAGCCTGTCTTCTAAAGAAAGATGTTTGCTAGCACCATCTTTTATTGCAGCTTAAAAACGTCGGTGTCGCACAATACAGCCGTCATTTCCACCTTTTTTCTGATTGGTTGTTTTTGAGCTGGCTAGTCCCGCCCCCTCTGAGTGTCCAGACTCGTCCTCTGTGTAGGAAAGACCAGGGTGCTGCTTGGCAGGCTTGGGTTGGCTTTTTCTTATTCTGGTTTTATGACTGTGATGCTGGACAGAAGCAGACATCGAGCGAAACATGGAGCAAAGAAAAACACTTTCAGAGGGAATCTGGTCCTCACGACTAATTTCACCCATTTCCTCTGCACATAAAAATCTGCACATCACCGTTCATTCCTCCATCTCTGACGCCATGTTACTGTCTGTCAGCCACATGATCATAATTCCTCTCTCATCGGAGGAGCACATCACTAATCATGCGCATTTAACCTCTCATTTTGAACCCATTACACTGCGGCTGATTATAGCATGAAGAGGCAATCAGCTCATGAAAGAGAACCTGGAAGACGGAAGCCAGCTCATGGACTGGTGTGTCAGATCCAGACAAAGGACAGGCAGCGGGGGTGCATATGTGGATAATGTAGATCCTCTCTGTGTGTAGCGGCCAGCTGTACAGTACGGACAACGTGGTGTTGTATTACAAGTGTGTTGGCTGACTCGTGCATAGTGCTCCGACGTGACCACACGTCACCCTCTAAGGCGTACTTTGTA